CCGGAACGTCAAGACCGGATGGTCCAGACCCGACAGTCCAGACGCGTGGTCCGTCCGTTCCGCAGACTGGAACGGACAGTCCACGTTAAGACGCAGACCGTCCGTTCTACGTGGTGGAACGGACGGTCCACGTTAAAGGCAGACCGTCCGTTCTACATGCTGGAACGGACGGTCCAAGTGCAATTCCGGACCGTCCGTTTCAGGCTTCGGATTTTTCAAAAATTAAACCGAAATTAGGGTTAAATCACCTTATAAGAAGGAGATTAAAACCCTAATTCTGGAGAGACTTTTTGAGCCATCTTTGGCAGAACTTTGAGGGTTTTTGGTGAGATCCAAAGAGTTCAAGGAGTTCTAAGTCTCGTTTTCTCAAAGCTATATACCGAATAGCAGATTCGGGTCCTAGCAGACAAGTTCCAATTATTGGAATCCATCCCGAGGTGTGGATACGTGTAGAGGGCGAGGTATTCTTCCTCCCTTTCGTGATCGAACGAGTTCTTTAATTGATATAGGTCCCGGATCGATTGAGGTAAGCGTTCAAACGTTTTTACGATTCATACATGCATGATTCTAGGTTTTATTCAAATTTTTGTTTTACATCTGCTGCGCAAACCCTAGAATCGATCTCTTAGGAATAGGATTCGCTCTAGAGATCTCAGGAAACCCAACAAAAATCGCACACCAAAAGTCTGCCGGCAATCTGTCGGTCGCTTGGTCCGACCCTGACCAATTTCTAGTCCGGCTGACCAGGTCTTGACTCTACTCATTTTTCTCTTGGTCCATCGGGTCAGTCCAAGTCCAACTGACTGAGTTGGTCTAGAGCTAACTAAGTCTTGGTCCGGCGGACCAACTCAGTTTTTCCCATTTTCTTTTCTTTTCTTGGTTCGTTCCTCCTCGTTTGGTCTGATTGAGTGTCTTGGTCCGGCGGACCAACTGTTGGTCAGCCCCGGACCAGACTCCCTTTCCTCCTCTCAGTCCGCCTTTTCCTTCCTCAGGTCCGCCGGTGGAGTCCATGGCCTGAGTGGGTCTGGTCCGACTGACTGATAGTTGGTCAGCTCCGGACCAGCCACCTTCTTTTCTCTTTGGTCTGACCCTTGGTCAGACAGAGTATTCCTCTTCTGTAGATGTCTGGTCCGACGGACCGACACTTGGTTAGCCCCAGGCCAGACTTCTTCCCCTCTTGGTCCGTCTCTTGGGTCCGACGGTGTGATTTTTCCTCCGAGCGCGTCTGGTCCGGCGCATTGGCTTTTGGTCAACCCCGGACCAATCATCTTTCTCGAATTATTAGTCACATTTATTTAATTATTTGGATTCGGAGTATTACACGGTTCAGACGAACCATATATGGTTCGATCTTAATCGATTGTCCGAGAAAATGCAGTTAACTTGTGCTAGATGGCGGTTCAGACGAATCAACGATGGTTTTATCTAATGAATATCTTAAATGTTAAAATGTTCCAAATTGATGACTCAAATATTAAAAAATTTCAAGTGGATACTCATATTCATGAAATCGAGAGCAATTTACAACCTCGATTCGTTTTTAGTTGGAATTAACATCTATTTTATACATAGTAAAAGTTGAGAATTATTATCGATTTTCTAAATTTCGTTTTTTATATTAAAAATTAATATAAACCTCTAAGAATTTTAGCAAAAATCTCTTTTTTAAACATATCGATATTTTTTGGGAAGGTTGAAAATTATCATCAATTTCATTAGTCAAAGTATCTTAGACCATTTCAACATTTGCGAAACCAATTTAAACCATTTAACATTTGAAATATCACATACATCAAATTAAAAATTTAGATATTTATTTATGATGTCTTTGGCTCTCTCGTAAGTACGTAGTGTAGAGGACATGCACTTTTCATAAAATTTGACTGTATATATAACGGCAATTACATACCTACTTTTAGCAACCACTAACATATATAATATATATATATATATATTAACTAGATTAAAAATAAAAATGATTGGCCAATCAATTTCGAAATAAATAGAGGTTAGCAAAACATAATTAAAGAGATCAATGTCAAACTAAATATATATATGCTTTGTGTATTGCAGTGAAGAAGCCTAAAGTAAAAACACAAATGAGAAAGACAACATAGTCTTCAATGTTTCAGTAGCGTGAATCGACGGGTAGTATTTCGAGGGGTTTTCAGAGAGCTTTCTTCACCTCGAAAAAACCCGAGAGTTCCTTGTTCGCGGCCTCGGGTTTTCAGAGAGCTTTCTTCACCTCGAAAAAACCCGAGAGTTCCTTGTTCGCGGCCTCAACGTCTTCAGGAGAAGCCACGGCTACCACAACACCTTTATCTTTGACGGCATCTATGGCTTCCGCGAATTCTTTGAAGTCGTTCGAACTGTGAAATTCAAAAGAAGATAAACAGAGTTTTGACTTGTTCTTATATACACAGCAAAAATCTCGGGTCAGGATTTTTTTTGCCTCGGTTGCAAGACCCACAAGCTGATGGATCCTTGGGTAGAAAATCGGTTTTTCGGATTTTGGGGTTTTATCTATTGAGAGTTTATGAATTTTGATTCAATCCAAAAGGGGATTAGAGTAAATGTAGGATACTACCCTGAACTTTTGTAAGAGTCCTAGTGGAATCTGTTCTTGGATAAACTTCTAAAATCCTACTGGAAGTATGTATCTTCCTCTATAGGAACAGATTCAACCTAAATTCGGAGAACTAGGATCATTGATTCCCAGATTCAATAATCAACATGATGTGCGGCACGGAAAAGTGATAAACAAAAAACATAATCTACTGAAATGACAAGGAGAAAAACATAACCTTGTTGTCAATATCTCTTCTCGCCTTCTTCGCCTCTCCTCATCCGTTACTCCCAGCAAATGTCTCAACAAACTGGTGAAAGAAATGGAAAATTTGGTTCAGAATCCATGAATTTTCTCGAAAGAAGGCCAAGTATAGATCATAGAATGGGTACAATATTTCTTACCTGCTATAACCTTTGGCATCGGGGAGCTGGTATGAATCAACATCTCCGATCGTTCCAATAATAGCTTTTGTCAGTGTATCTTCGTCGAGATCGAGCCCACGTAAGAAATCCCCAGTCGTGTCATATATATCAAGTGTCTTTAATAAGTTGGGATCTCGGTATGATAAGAAAGAAAACACTCCTAATAGCAAAAGAAACTTGAAGAGTCAGGAGCAAAAGAGAAACATGAAATAACACGACTTCTTCGGCATCAGATCAGACAGGAAAGATGTTTCTTTTCTTACCCGAGTGAGTATCGAAATCGCAGAAACCTCCATAGGCACCACCACTTACACGGACACGATCCCATAACCATGTATTACTAATATGCTTCGATATAACATAAGCGCTTCCATCAAGCTCATAACCGGTACTGTATATGTTACCTGCTTTTCCCACATAGTTTACCTGAAGAAAGGGTATGAATAAGATTCCAAATCAAAGAGGAAGCAGATTAAGTGAAAACACATGCATCTCGTTGTGTATCTAAATAAAAAAGGGTATTCATGTCCTCGAACCTGGGTCGGTATCACAATAGCTTCATTTCTGATAGGAAGTACAGAATTCCATCCGACGGGTCCACAAGATGGGTTTTCGGGAAGCAAATCCAGAAATTTCCCGACGATTTTCTCATTGCTTGTGAGGCTCTTCCCATCAGCGGTCATATTGACTATGCAACCGTTCCTGGAGAGGAGGGATTTCCTGATTTCTTCGAGTGAGGATGAAATTCCTTCCCAATCTTGATCCAGTTTGCGTTCCAGAGTTTGCAGAAATTCAAGGTAACTACAAACGAGGAAAGTACACAGATGTGATTAACGATCTTTCACTGTCTGCCAAGTTAAATTACGATTAATAGTACTGATACTCGAGAGATATATTCACAGAAATTTGAACACAGACAAGAAGTAGAACTTAAAAGTCCAATATAAAAAAGATTGTAGGTTTCAACCTGAGACCACCCATTTGCTCAGACATCCATCCAGAGACATTTGCCATTGCATCCATCCTTGTAGCAGCGATTCCGTGACCACTTCCCCTCAATCGGTTCTGCATTAAGAACAAACATAATATGTTTATATCACTTTTTCGGTTCCATTTAGGATGCACAAAGCAGAAAGAAAGACAACATGTACCTCCATCCGTGCTTTGCTTTGAGACACAAATTGTTTAAACCGTTGTTGATCAGTAAACTGAACTTCTTGCAACACACAGTTTATCTACAGTTAAAAAAAACAAACCAACCTCATGTTAACATGATTCAAGCCCAGAATTACAGCTTTGACGGAAATAAAACACCTCAATCATATAATTATTGCATGAAAATGACTAACACAGTTGGCGATGAAAAGCCATTTAACGAATGTTCTTACACCGTTCCACTACTACGTCCTGTGTTTATCTGCTTTTTTTGTTTTTCTCTTATTCACTAGGAATGTGAAGGTGGTAATGAAGACTAACACTTGTTTTTATGGTAACACATCCTAGAATCCAACTTTAACAGTTCAAAGCAAAATCGATATGCCTTTACTGAGTGACAATGGATTCAACTCAGCAGTACTCTATGTGAAATACTTGTCAAGAATATGCCGAAAAGAAACAGAAAATCGGGACAGTATTAGTTTCAAGGTGAAGGCGAGAAATTAGGGCATCAAAAGTGATATCCCAGGGTTATGTAGTTATTGGGGAACACTCAAAAGCAGACATTAACACCTGCCCAACCTATGTCTATGACAAGAAAAAACCAACCAAAAGCAGAGCCTATAAGGTAGAAAATTCCACAATAACACGAAATATGGAAATAGAAAGCAAAAATGTGATTAGCTAAGCCAGTTACGGCCAAAAAGAAGAAATACCAGGTTAAAAAGGTCTTCAGTGTGTCCAGCCATGGATTTTCCCCGCACAATAATTTTGCTGCATGGTTCATCCTTGCCTCTCATCGATGATGTAAATGGATAAACTGATATTCCCCCAGTTTTCCTTCCAATCAACTGATTAAGTTGCACAAAAGTCAAATCTTTTGTGCCCATCTCCAGTAATGATTGACTGTCAAGACAAAATCGTATAAAATGTTTAAATTTAAATATTTAACATGCAAGCTCATTTTCTTTTATTCCTAACAGTAGGCATCGGTAAATGAAATAGATTTTCATCCCTCAAGAGAAAAAGAAGTGGAACGAATCATCCGGATAAGAAAATACAACCAAAACCAATGACTACATGTAAAAGGGCCATCTATATCAACAGATAGTACAGTAACGTAAATTCTCGGATGAGATCAAGTTGATCAACACGACTCAATCCCATCTGTTACAGCAAACCAAATTTACAGAGGCTGGCTTTGATATAGAAGTCTCTAGTACAAGGGCAAGGATTTTCACAATAGCAAATGTTTACCACATAAGACAGATAGCTACATGAAGAAACAAATCATTGACACTACAGCAGAACTGAATAAGACCTCAGAGCGTCCATGCAAAATTCAAAGATTGCAAACTATATGGACACTCCACCCAAAGATCAAGCAATATGTCATCCTAGATGCTTTAAACAGGGAAAACAGTGTGGAACACTGGTAATAGCTTCGTTATGTTTTCAGACAATTTGCATTTCTAGTAGACATTGGTGATGAAATACATATGAAGCCACACAAAAAGATCAATTTCATCAAGAAATTCAGGTCATCAAATTACCAGAAGAGTGGTACTAGTGGAATAAGCTCCTTTTTCAGTGAACCCATCTCGAAGACTACATCTGTGTAGAGAATATCATTTGTAAAAAGGTCATGCCGCAAAACCTTCACACCATTAATTTCTCCAACCTTTTGTTTAAAATATGTGTTAGCGCATGGACAAACTCAAGATAAGAAAGGGGAAAAAAGCATAGGGAATAACTCTAATTACCTCAGTAGGAACATGAATAGGTTCTTTTGGAATGTCACTCAAAGACAAACTTGGGACACATCCTAGCGCTTCAGGAGGATCAGGAGTCTCTTGTTTCAATTTCAGCTCCTCTGTGGCACGTGCTAGCTCCGCAAGATCCTCTTGCGTCATATTTGCTTTAACTTTTTCTAAGATGATTTTCTCCTCGGCTTCCTCTTGAGAAGCTTTCTCGGGATCAGGCTGACAGCCATCATTGTCAGCGTGGAACTACGGAAACACTACGTTGAAATAAAAATATCCTCAGAAGAAAAATACCTGCATTTCTATGGTAACACAATGAGGGTTGTTCAAGATAAACTCTTCAATCAGTGGGGAGAAAACAGCCTTGGATCCTTCCTCGGCTATTCTGGCCTTAAGGTCCTTCAATGGCTGTTCATACTTTAATGGCTCAAAAGGATCCATGTCGTATATCCATTTTGCCTGAACAGTGGGTGACCAAATAAGCAGTAATGGAACATAAATAAACAGATATTGAAATATAAAAGCGACAAAGCCCTACCATTGACTGAAGCATAAGTGATAAACCACGGGGAAAAGATCCCGTATTGTTTTCCCTCAGAGAAAACTCAATTGTATTCATGGATGCCTCCATAGCATCACTGTCAAATCCTTCTTCTGCCAACTTTTGAAGAGTATTCACGATTAATTCTTCTACCTTTTGAACATTTTCATCACAAACACCTTTCAAACCAATACTGAACTGAGGCTGCAGAAGTTCATCTTCCATTCCACTGCGAACAAGGGCCTCTCCTAAACCACTTTCCAATAAGATTTTTCTTAGTGGAGAAGCAGGAGTCCCCAGCATAAGATGATCCAAGAATCCAAATGCAAGTTGAGTTTGCAAGTCCAAGGGCTTATCAGACAATAGCCAGTTAAGGCACACCATGTGCTTCTTTTTAAGGTCACCATCTCTGCCAGCAGGATATTTCTCAACTATCCTGCGAGGCTCGGCGAATAGTCTTTGTGGTTCAATTTTTGAATCATTTGGAGCCGGACTTGCATCAAACATATCCAAGTATTCTGAACAAACAAGAAAAGTAGAAATAAGATACGTAGTCAAACTGACAAATACTTCTTCAATGTTGACTTAGATGGCTCATGATTCTGATAAGCCACTTCAAGCATTGGTGAGGAGAGCATCGAGGAAGACAAGGACATGTGGCAGAGAATGTGGAAGCAACAGAACATGAGCATGTATTTCGGTTGGTGTTGTTATTAATTACCTATAGATATAATGATATATATGGCTGTTTGTATAGGTTTGCAGGCCATATCATTAGTGTGTTACTCGGACGGCTATATAACTATCTCTTTTGTTTTTGGGGAGGCATCTGAAATCTTAAGAATATTGTGATTTGGGAGGTTAATAGAGAGTGGTGTTCCTCTCTAAACCTTGGTGGGGAATGGAGAGTGGTGTTCTTCTCTAAACCCTGGTATTGTTTCCTCTCTTTTGGTATTTTCTTAATACAATCGGTATTTCTATTACAAGGTTCTATCAGATTCTTTGGGAACATAGAAGGTAAATACTAATGTAATTGTTCATGTAAGTATATGGAAACATTTCTTGGTTGCACAACGGGCATCTAGATAGATTAGTTTGAAAGAACTATTCAAGAACAAAAGCTATAGGCCTACCACTTATTACCTCAACCGCACATCAATTCACCTTAAAGTTTCAATATACAAGGTAACTGAAATCACTATCTTCCTTCTAGAAGCTATATTGACAAGAAATTGAAAAAAAAATGGGCTACTTGTATATGAAAAAAAATAGATCACAAAGAAAAATATTGCTCCTTACCACTCAAGATGTGGAGACGGTGAACTGGATCATCATCTCCATAGAACCAAATCCTAGCATTGCTTGGGTGATAATACTTACGGTGGAACTCCTAGAATTTTCATTAGAACAAGAATTTATGTATCGTAAATCATACCATCACAAACAATGGCAATACAATATCACATATTATTTCGTATCACCAGTTAATATGGAGGGCATGACAAACCTTGAATTCCTCAAATGTCAGCTTGGGGATAATTTTTGGATCACCTCCGCTGTCAACACCGTATGTATTTTCTGGGCATAGTGCCTACACAAGAAAGGTAAAACAAAAATGCAATTCCTCCAATTTAACAAAATCAAAATACTAAAAGATAATGATCGGATGAACTTTTAGCTGGGAGAACTATGATTACGATTTACTACGTTACATATAAAAGGTTGATAATCAAGCTCACATCCTAGCCAAGCGTTATACATTATTCTTCAAATCTCTTAAAGCATGCATGTACACTGTTAGAGTCCCACATCGACTATATGTGGAAACAATTGAGGCTTTATAAGACTATGGGCACTCGACTCTAACAAGCTAACTTTAGAGTGAGTTCTACCTATGGACCTTCGGATTTAATTGGGCCCATTATTGGTAGGTTCTATCAATTGGTATCAAAGTCAACTGATCCTCGGACATGCAGACGACACCACAGGAGAGGAATGATCTCGAGAGAAATGATCAGGAGAGGAGCACAAGGGTGTGTAGCCCCAGCGACCGAGTAGACGATATAGATCGAATAGCCGCCAGCACCGATCTAAAGGACGCGGTATTGTTAGAGTATTACATCGATCATATGTGGGAACAATTAAGTTTGACCCATGGACCTAGGAATTTAATTTGGCCCATTATGGGTGGGTTCTATTATACACATGCAAATAAGAACACAGATGTTCTGATTAATTCAGTTATCAAAAACATCTGAGAAGAACAAAAGTCAAAGAAATACAATACTGAATGCACCTATTTTCTGAAAACATATTCGAAGACTTGCCTGTTGGGCAGTCCGACCTAATATATTATCAGGCTGTGAGTAGACACCTTTCATCTCATTAAAAACAACACCTGAAATTTCGAAGCATTCACGATCAGACATGGAGAGAAATTCAAATTAATATAATACCAACACTATAGAAAATTCTCAAAATGCAGGCATCCCAGCAGATAAAACCTTTGTAAGATATGTCTTCTGAGGGATCGTTGAGCTCATAGTGCCAGCCCTCCTGCTGCAACGTG